GATGTTGTGGACGGCCTAGTCTGCACTTCTTCTGAGTAAGAAGTGACAATGGAAAACCCATTCACACATCAAACAAATTTTTGTGAGCACCTATGATTTGCTGGGTACTATTTTAGGCCCTGGGAAACAGAGAGGCAAACAAGTGAGATAAGCTTCTTGCTTGCATGGACCTTACATTCTAGCGGGAGGGGAGACAGACAAGAAGAAGAAGAAACAGAAGACAATGTGAAATTGTGACAAGGCTATGAAGACACAAAACAGGATGAGGGGATGGCACATAACTCAGGGAGCTATCTTATATGGGGTCAATGGCATGCTGGGACCAGCTCTTAGTGGCTCTGGAGAACCGATTATATGCATCTCTTCCCAACTCCAGCGATGCTACAAAATCAGGGTCTTCCCTCTGCCAGAGCCGGTTGTTAAGCTTTAGCAGAACACCACTTGATGAGGCGCTCAGTGAACGTCTCTCTGAAGAGACACTAAGGAGAGGAATCAATCTTGTGACCACCTGGGGGAAAGAAAAAGCAAACCCAGAGACCCTGAAACAGAACTCTCGGGAAACCAAGAACGACAAGGTGCTGTGTTTTAAAATGATAACAGAATTATTTTGTCACAGAGCTGTTGTAATATATCCCAACTGGTCAAAATAAACACACAACATCAAAACAAAACACAAAAGGGCACAAAGAACTATATTGAATTGTATGTGGTCATAATTCCCTCTTTACGGTGAGCGGAAGGGTCTGGAGGCGGTGTTGTGGTTTTTAAATTGCGTCCTATTTATTGTCTCCATTCTGTCTATAAAAAAGTAGAGCGATAGTTTCAGTTCCTGGGTAATTTGCAAAACCACAAAATTCACCTACAAAAATATGTAGGCATGACCTATAATATTACCAGTTTGGGAAACTACAATCACACCATTTTAAAATCTTGGAGTCTGGGTTATTCATGGAATCGCAGCATTTTATGAGTGCAAAGGACCTGAAGAGGCACATCCACTTATTTTTGGCATGAAGAAATTTAGGCCCAAAGAGGATGACTTGCCGAAGATGACAGCACTAGCTGGCAGAGCTTGTTCTGGAACCCAGGTCACCTGCCTCGTTTGACATCAGATTCTCAATGTCAGTTTATACCCTAGGGCAGTGGTTCTCAAAAGGAGCATGCATCAGAATCACCTGAGGGCTCACCCCACAGGCTCCACCTGCTGAGTTTCGGAATCAGTAGGGCTGGGAATCTGCATGTCTAACCAGTTCCCAGGTGAGGCTGACACCACCAGTATGGGGACCCTACTTTGAGACCCACTGTCCCAGGAATTAGGAGTATGGGTTTTGTTATCCAACATGGCTGAGGTCCAGCTCTGCTTCTGCCACTTGTATGACCCTTGGAAAAGCCACCCAAATTCTCCGGACCTCAGTTTCTGATATCTGACTCCAGCTGTGAGGAATAAAGAACAACATGCCCATAAAGCTCTAGTCATCCAAGGGCCTGGCACATTCTAAAGTAAGCGCTTAATCAGTACTAGCTACATCTTAGAGCAATCTAATTCACTAGAATGGCTAAAATCCAAAAGATAGACAAGATCAAAGACTGGCAAAGAGGTGGAGCAACTGGAACATTATAGCAGCTTTGTTCATAATAAAAATGATAAACAGTCCAAATGTCCACTGACAAGCAAAAAATATAAACAAACTGGTATTTGTATACAATGGAATACTACTCAACAATAAAAAAGAACGATACACACAACAATATGACATCTCCAAAATATTTTGAGTGAAAAAACCCAGACACAAAGGAGTACATGCTGCATTATTTCATTTATGTGAATTTCAGTAATAGACAAGACTAACCCACCATAAAAGAAATCAAACAGCCTCTGACTTTGGAGGAGGTGGGGGGAACTGACCGGAAGAGGACATGAGGGAAATTTCTGGGGTACGGAAATGTTCTACATCTTGATTTAGATGAAGATAACACGAGCGTGTGCATTTGTCAAAACTCATCAAACTGTATACTTAAGATCTGTGCATTTTACTATAGGCAGGTATATACTTAAGTATATATTTATGCTTTATTATATATGTAAAATAACAAATATACGTATATGTAAATTTTTTAGGCACTTTGTGACCAAAAAACTGTCTTCTCCATTTAAAATGAACCCACTGCAACCTGGTAGATACATTTAGCTTAATTCCATCACAATCCAGTCCTGCTTCATATAATACCATTTGCTACAGACTATTTTGGTCTGTGCAACTTTCCAGAGAGCTGCCGTGAAATAGAAACAGCAGAATTGTCTCCCACAAGAAGACCGTGACATTTCCGTACAGACAACACCCAAAGTGACCCATGTCCCTGGGAGTGGCTAGCTTAGGGTAAGACAACACAAAAGTAACATTTTCCTCTACCAAGCACCAAGTATGAGCCTATCCAACAGGATCAAAACACACTAATAAGACATAGTAAGAGCAATTCTGTCGTATAAGTTAAATCATATTCTCGACGTGAAAGAGGGAACAGAAAACTGGTGAAATCCTTTCTAGTGCCATCTTTCTGTAATGAAGATGTCAGAAGAGATAATCTCCTGGTTAATTATTACATAAATAGTAGCGTTCAGATTGTAGTGGATTCCAGGCCATTCGAGTGTCCCCATCCACATCTTCATTCTATCCTATTACAAGGAGAACAGGTAGATTTACACACACACGCCTGCTATGAACATTCCTGTGCAGCAAACAGAATGGTTCTGGGGAAAGGGAGAGAAGATCTGGAGACATTACAGTTTCCCTCAAACCCAGAGGCATCTGATTCCAAACTCACCTGATTATCTGACCAACCTTCCTAAACCCCATGATGAGGCAGAGCTGGGACAAGGCCTCCCTGATCTCCCTGATGGAGGTGGTTCGGCCACATCAGCATCTTGCAAGTGAAAACAAGCCCCCATACAGGACCCATTAGACACCAGTAGACTCCCCACCAGAGAGGCAGGAACCCCTACCTGCCCTTCCTCCAGGCCTTTCTCCAAAATGCCCCTAAACTGAGAACTGTAGATGACCCTATCAAACGCTTTGACACAGTATTTTCTCTATAGTTCTATCAAGTCCTAATAATCCAGGTACTGGCATTAAATTTATAACCCAGGTTCCCAACACCAAAAGCTAGATTTAGAAATAAATAACTGCTCAAATTCAGTTTAAACGTAACAATAATAGTTCATCTTTATTGAGCACTTACCATGTGCCAGGCTCTGTTCTGCACACCTTCCATTTATTAGCTTATTTATTACCCCCAGGAGAGCCAGTTTACAGATGAGGACATTCTTAGGTGAGGCAAGGTGTTGGACAAAGCACAGCCTGGGGGGACGTGCCATGATTGAGGCACAGCCTCTCCCAACAATGAGTATACCACCTTGGATGGAAATGAGGGGATGGACCTAACTCACTGTTCAGAGTAAGTAAAAAGCTACAAGGTACATATTTAGGAGGAGGAGGAAGGATTTGCTTATCCTGGCGGGATGCTGGAGGGCTTCTTGGAGGAGGTGTCCAAGTGGAAGATGAGGACATAAATGGAAGGAGCTTTCTTTAACTGTCAACTCCTCTGCTCCCAAATCTACCAAAAGGCCCAATTATTGCCCCTGCCCACTCCTCTGTTTCATCCAGAACAAGCCTGTTTCCAGGAGAGGACCAGCTCAGCCTAGCCCAGCCCTCCTTTCCTTTGACACATTCCTCCAGCTGCTGCTGCCCTTCCGGGCCTGCAGGCACATATGGGAACTTTTCACCACGCTCAACTTTGCCACCTTCTCTGGGGCTTTCATGGGGGAGAACCTGCATCACAACCCTTGGTCCTACAAGTGATCCCTTTAATGGAATCGAGTCCTTCTCTGTTGGATTGACATAAGGACAGCCTCTCGCCTGCACCAAACTGACACGTAAGGGACTCCTCACCACCAGCAGCCACCAAAGAGGTCATCACCCCGCCACAAGCTTCTGAGAGAGGAATTGGCTTCCACTCCCTCCTCACAAGTCAGCCCCTCCAATCCCCCAGGGGCACCCCCCACCTCCTCCTCCTCAGTCTTAAGGCTCTGCAGCAAGGGCTCAAACCCTCACTTTCGGTATCTGTGTGACCTTGGGCAAGTAACTCAACCAACCTCAGTCCCAGTTTCCCTATCTGTAATATGGGCTCTATAAAAACAACTGGCTCTCAGGATTGCGAATCAGAACAAGATAGCGCAAGTAAAGCATTTTACGCAGAGCCTGCCACGCAGCAAGCTAACCAAGAATAGCAGCTATCATTATCAATAATGGCGAGTGATGGTGGTGGCGGCATAAACTTGCGCTTGATTTGCGCTAAAGAGAGAAATACCCCCTCTCTCCCCACCCCCCACGCCTGGGGCTGGGCCACAAGGTGGAGACACATGCGTCATCCAGCTGTAAGGTGAATGCAAGATCTTCAGGCGGCAGGACTTAGGAACCACCAGGCAGTCAGGCCCCAACCCACCTGGAGCAGGGCAAGGTGAAGCCGATTTTCTGGTGTAGGAGGTTCTATAACTAAACCCCCTCTCCTCGTTCATACCCATTCTCCAGGTCTGGAAACAGACAAGTGGCAAAAGCACGCAGCAGCTGCGCCTGGCTGCACCACTCCCCCAGGGAGCCAGCAGAGCGCCCACCTCTGCCCCTGCCTCAGTTCCCCCGACTCTTCTCCAGGCGCAGCGGCGCTACACTTGGTGGCTGAGATAACAGGTTGGCAAACCAGGCCTGAGAAACATCTCCCGCTTCCCTGCGCAAACCCAACCCCCTCTTCCCAACGCAGGTGGGCAAACAACCCACAACCTCGCAACAACTCTGTGTATTTCACCATGACAGGGCGCGTGGCCTCAACTTCCCCTCTTCGCTGCGCTCGGAGGAGGAAAGCGGGAAATCGAGATGGGGTGGAGGGAGGCACTCCAAAGGCCGCTCCCCTTTTCTGGGGGCGCCTCCCGGAGGCGCGTCCCGTCCTACCTTGTCTGACGGCTTTGAAGGTGACGGCCTCCTTGCAGCTGTCGATGACTCCCAGCACGTCATAGCGGGGCAAGCCGGACACCCGGATCCCCTGCACCTCCAGAAGCAGCTCCCCCTCGCCCAGTCTCGGGCCCTCGCCGCCGCCGGGGAGCCCCGCCGCCGCCGCCGCCACCGCTCCGACATACGGAAACTCCCCGTTCTCCGCGCCCCCGAGCACCGTCACCCCAAGCTCGCCCTGGGGTCCCCGCTTCACGGTGCATTCGTGAACCTTGCTAGTCCAGTGGTTCTTCTTCTGGATCACTTTCGACATGATGAGTTACACCCCTCCTCCCCCCCCAAAAAAATAATCAGAAAATGAGAGACAGGTGCCCCCCACAGCACAAGCCCCCAAGCCTCCGCTGGTTCATGGGAGAGACATCTCCCCTCAAATAAGGCAACGGGAGAGAGAAACTTGGCAGCCTCGCTCCCCTGCACACACTCGCGCACTCAAGCCATCATAAAACAAACTTTCTGGGCTTCCCCGCGAGCCCTGCACAAGCGCCCGCGAGCTTTGTTTGCATTCCGGTGCCTCTAGGTCCACGTTCCGGCGCCCGACCGTGCTCTCCGGGACCAGAGTCCACTCTGCGCCGCTCGGGTTATTTTTTTCCTTCCTTCCTTTCTTTCTTGCCTCTTAGAAACGCGGTGTCCTCTTTGCCTCCCGCCTGGCTCGCCTTTCCTCGCTGGCGGGCTGTTCCTGAGGGTGAGGGAAGCCCTTCCAGCCAGTTGCTGGGAGCCCTGGAGACGCGGTTGCGGAGCGGGGGTGGAGGGGGACGGGAGGGAAGTGCCCGCGGCCCCTTTAAGCAGATACAAAGGCTCGGCTTGTTTTGTTACAGTTCATTCTATTCCGCGCCGCCGAGCGCGGCGGCCGGCGAGAGGAGACGCGCGCGCATGCGCCCCGCGGCCGCCTGCCGGCCGGCCCGCCCCACCCCTCCTTCCCGAAGGGAGAGATTCCAATGTGATTCCCGTTGGGTCCTAGAACCGACCGTCAGGAGAAAGCAGCTTACCCCCTTTCATACACCCCTTTTATTCCTCCCTCTTTTCTTTCAGTGTCCTCGCCTCTGCAAATCCCTTTGCGGATAGGGGAACACGCTCGTGTTTTACTCCAACTGTTTGAAACTTTTGATACACGGGCGATCTGGCGTTGGCATTTTAAAACCATTTCAAACAGGTGGGGGTTGGGGAGGCTCGCACACTCACTCTCGCGCTCACACTCACGCACACAGGCACGCACTCACGCCGGCCTAAGCCTCCTAACCGCCCTCGGCCAGTGGCTGGCCTCGCTGTCGGTCACCAGCCCGGCTTGTCCGCCGCTCCGCGCCACATTCCCCTCTAACACCCCTGAGCCTGACCCGGAGGCGCGCGCCTGCTCTGAGCCTGCCGGTTCGGGTCCTGGAACCGGGTCAGCCAGTATCTCTACGATCCTGGGGAGAGGGGCAGTGGGGGTCCCCTGGGCCCCCCAACTGGGATCCCTATTAGCGTCACACGTTCCCACACACACATGTCCTCACCCTTAAACTTTGGGGCCAACTTTTTAGGACCATGGAAAACTATAGGCGAGGGAAAGAAACCAAAAGGCTAGAGGGAGGTCGGGTCTTCAACCCAAAAGGGATCTGGCTTTTTAACTGCCCTTCCAGCAAAGACTTCTGGAGCCAGTCATCTGTCCCGGGCTCCAGTTCCTGGCTGAGCCAGGAAGCCTTGGGACCCGCTGGAGCCAGGAGATAAGGATCACCCCCGGGTCTGGGATCTGCACCCGCGGGGGCGTGGGCGTGGGCGCGGCAGCCACCTCGGAATTCGCAACCCGGGGGTGGGTGTAGAGAGAGCCTACACCTCCGGCGCCGGCCCGGGGCTGGGGTAGAGCAAGTGTCTGTCCCGGCGAGGTTGCGGAACGAGCTCGGGGGCTGCGGAGCGAAAAAATATCCTGCATCGGGAAGGCTGCCCTCCCCAAATACTCCCCAAATCGGCCTGGGCGGTAGTCTCTCAAGCAATTTCTTTTCCTTAGTGATTTATAACTTGTTTGTTCATCTTTGGTCACAGGAGAGATTCCAAGTGCTAAATAAGGGAGGTAAGTGGAAGGGACTCAGAAAGGACGCCATGCCGCAGCAGTGGGGGTTAAGAGCTGGCCTCTGGGGTTTAGAGTCCCCCTGGTCCACTCTCGTGTGACCTTGAGCAAGCTCCGTGACCCCACAGAGCCTCGATTTCTCCCCTGGTGAGTGAATATAACAATACTTCACAAGGTTCTTGCGAGTGTTACATGGGAGAACACTTGTAAAGTGCCCAGCTTGTAAAATGAATCCTTGTAAAGTGGCATATAATAACTTACATGATTATTAGTAGTCGTAGTATTTAGAAAGAGCATTAGGAAATCATTTGGGGTTTCAAGTTAGATGATGATGATAATTATAATTCATTCTCACCTTTCTAAAGCTTAAAATATATAGCCATACATTTAAATATTTTTAAAGCGCTGTTTGTAGGTTGCTAGTCTAAGCTAATAAAAACAAGAGAAGACTGTTGATGCTTCTCTCTTGGGATATCCAGAACTGAAAATCTCGTTGCCTTGTAGTGTTTGTGAAAGAAGGAAGTGGCCAGTTTTCTTTGGTTCTTCTTGGGGAGGAAAACATCATATCCAGCCTATTTTCTCAGAAGTGATCAGTGTGTTTCAAGCTTGACTGGATCAAAACGAATGGAAGCTTCAAAACTTTTATTCTCAAGCCAACACAAATCCGGCCAATCAGAATTTCAGGGGGGGGCTGTTATCATCTACCTTTTTAAAGTTCCCTTTAAGTGGTCCTGGTACCCAGTGTTGAGGACCACAGGTCTACCATCTTGATTCGTGAGCATTTTTTATGTCACAGATCCTTTTGGAGAATAAACCTGTGGTCCACATCTTCCTGTAGAATGTAAGCTCCACGAGGGCAGGGAACTTTGGCAGTTTGGTTTACTGATGTATTCCCAGTTCCTAGAACAGTGCCTGGTACCTAGTTAATACTCAAGTATTTGCTGAATGATCTTCCCACAAAAATGCACATTTTTTGCATACCACCTTAGAATGGAGTCACGGATTCCCCTACAAATCACTAGTAAACTTAATCTTGAGTGTTTCCCCGCTCTATATCCTAGTAGTCTGATTGCTTGTCAAGAATTCCCCCACCTGCCTAGAATCAATGGTTCGCCAGCTCCCCTCTCAACTCTCACTCCCACCTGGAGGAGTCCAGAGGTTGGGCCACACCAAGTGTTTTGTGATTCCTCCCATGGCAGCAACACCGTCTCCCCACTCCCTGATTCCAGGTGTCTCTGAAGCTGAGAGGGGAAAGAATTTGGAATGTAGCACACTTCAGACTTTAGATATTGAACAGCCCCAAGAAAAAAAGGGATACCTGAGGGTACAGAGGGCGGGATGGAGAGCAGTATAGAGAGACATACTGTAATCCAGGAACATAAAAGCAATAATTGGAACCTCCAAAGCAGCTAAGACCACCAATTTCCAGGCACTAAGTTTGGGATGTTCTCACTCTCTGCTCCTCCCCTGACCCTTTCTGTCTCCTCTGTTTCACCTGGTCCAGTTCCTGTGTTCCAGACTGGAAGCAACTTCAGGGCAGAAATCATATCTATCCTATCCAACTTTTGAATCCTTTGCACCTAAACCCATGCTTTGGGTGGAGTGTGCACCATACACACTTGTTGAATGAATACGTGAACGCATTGATTAAGTGTGATGTTAAATTGTGTGATATGTGACCTTTGACACAAAGTCTACTCAGATTTGCTGCCTAGAACCCAGGTGTTTATAGATTGTTTCCCTGCAATAGCTTATAGTTACCTCATCTTGAAGGAGATTTTTCCCGAGTAGAGGTAAAGTGGGATCCTAGTGTCATGGCTTCTCTCACTTATGCTATGACTTTGGCAAGGCATCCCACTGGGGAAAATAATGCCATAAAATACCTAGTTTTGAGGCTTATCGTGTGTGTCAGGGTAGTTATATGCTTCATTTAATCATCACAACTACCATGTGAAGTACGTATGACCTTGATTTGACGTGAATGACCTTGATTTTACAATTCAAGATTCAAGGAAAGTGAAGCCAGGGAAGTAAAGAAACTTGCTCAAGAGCTTGGAAGTGAGAAAGCTTGGATGGGAACCCAGAAGCACGACCCAAAGCCCACGCTCAGAACCACTGTGCTATGCGGGTGTAGGATGTGGCCATCTGCCATTTAGCATATTTGGGTAACAATGTTGTTTTTTTGGCTCCTGAATCTGCCACATAGTGTGTGCACAATAATTAAGCACCCTCCTCTCTCTACCCTTTCATCTGAAAGGATACAGTGTTCCACTCTGGAATCCAGTCTCCTGTTCCCTGTCTGTGGGCTCTGACAATCGAACGATTTACTGGAATGTAAAGAGGATTAATTTGCAAACATTTCTAAAGTGTTTGGAGATCCGTGGGTTATGGTACAGGTGACGTGCCAAATGTCCTTATACTGTTATTGCATAAGCATTTGCACAATGAACTCTTAATAAACACTGTAGGCTCTGATGAGAAGTAAACCATAACACAATAAACTCTGCACAAATTAAGATCCTATTTTCCTATAGCTCATTCCACTAAAGGGAAGAAAAAAAACACAAGTATAAAATGTGCATTTCTTCTCTTTCTCCCAAATACATTTCTTCCCGAAGCTTTCCCATTGTGATTAAAGAAATTTATCATTGCAGTCTGAAGTGGTATTTTACCGAAAATGTGAGGATGGGAAATAAGTTGGTCAGCTGTGAGGAAAAGGAAGACACATAAATTGGTTATTTCTTAATTTCTGAGGAATGCCATCAAGAGGCATATATTATAGATGTCAATATATAAATACTTTGTATTCCATAAGGTAAACTACTCCAGACTGGTAACCAACGGTTACAGAACTGAGCAGAAGACCAACGGGGAGGTTGAAGCCATTAGTTGAGATAGAAAGTAAATGGCAGTGAGGGCCATTTTCCTACTCATCTCCCAGAGGCACTTTTGTGATTCATTTGATAACTTGTTCTTTTCCTCACAAGGAGGAGGATGGGTGGTTTTCTCTGACCATAGTATTCCTCCCTTTAGTACTTTCACCTAGGCAAGAATAAATACGATGTTAATTCTGATGACATTTCAAGACCTCTCTTGTGAAGTATTATTTTAAGACCCCAGAGCTGCAACTCCAGGAAGAAAGTTAAAATCCTTGCTATTGCTCTGGTTCACTTCCAACAGAAAAATGAATACTGGTAACTGAAAGATTTGAAATTTGATGTTGGGTCTGAAGAACCAAGAGAAACCCAAGAATTTATCATGGGAATCTCTCTTAAAATTTCCAAATGGTTCAGCAGTATAAAACACTAAGTATCGACAATTATCATGTCATTTTGCATAATTCCACTGAAAATACGCCTGATGGTATTTTTAATTTTCTTGAGAACAGGATGTTTGCATTTTCTTGATGACAGACATTTGTATCTCTTTTATTCCATGTCCTACCAACTCTATGAAACCATAGTAATCCGAACATGATAGATGCTTAAACAATACAGGGTTTTATTATTGAAAGTGTTTGCTCTATTTCTTCTTTCTTATTATGTATCTTTAACAATTTACTGCACCAAAACAAACTGAATGAGAGAGGAGGAAAGTACACGTTGAAACATAGGGTGGAATGCCCATATTTTTAAAAAATACCCTAGTAATAAAAGTTTTTGCAGAACAATTTAAAAAATAGATAAGTAAAAAGGCAGCATTAAATTAAGTCATTCAAAATTCTGTTACCAAGAGATAACTACTTCTTACATTTGGGTGTATCTCCCCCTGGACTTTGGTCAATACAGATATGCACACACACAGTCTACCCTCTTAAGTTCTCTTTA